CTCAAAAAATCCAAGCAAACCTTGTGGTCCGTTCAATTCTAGAAGTCTCTTCTGCCTTCTCATTTATTGCTAATTATATTTCTCTGCTTTTTTATGACTTTTCCACATGGAGAATTCTCTAAAATACCTTCAGGCCAGACTTTAGTCCCTGGATCCTCAAGAGTGCAATAATGTACAGTCTGCAGGGTACTGTAAGAGGTCAGCGAGAAGTCCCCTGGTGTTAACAGCTTGAGTAATACTGTTTTCTCCTTTACACCACATCATTAAATTGCTTTCATTATCCATAAAGTAATTCTTTATTTCACAGCAAATGAGATCTGACACTAATTCAAATAGGCTAATTTCAACCTAACAAAATAATTTATTCCTAATAACTAAAGAAACAAGACAATGACAAAAAGTTTGCAAAGATTTGTTATGATAAACGAGGGATCTGCAAACATTATATAGAAAATATGTGTTACAAGAAATATGCGTGAGTTTAAAAAATTTTACACCAAAATAAAGTTATCTTTTGATTCCATTTTCCATTAACTTTCTGAAGTATTCTCATGAAGAAGAGAAACAACATGGCTTTAAAGATGGATCCTGGGGCCAGCGCTGTGGCTCACTTGGCTGATTCTCCGCCTGTGGCACCGGCATCCTGTATGGGTGCCGAGCTCTAGTCCCGGCTGCTCCTCTTTGGTTCCAGCTCTCTGCCGTGGCCCGGGAAGGCAGTGGAGGATGGCCCAAGTGCTTGGGCGCCTGCACCCGCATGGGAGACCTGGAGGAAGCACCTGGCTTCTGGCTTTGGACTGGCATAGCTCCAGCCATGGTGGCCATTTGGGGGGTGAACCAACAGAAGGAAGACCTTTCTCTTTCTCTCCCCCTGTCTACCTCTATCTGTCAAATAAATTTTAAAAATATGGATCCTACCAGAGCAAAGAATGATGCTACCTGATAATTTACAAGGGAGAGGCCAGCAGAGAAGAAGCAAGAAGCCTAAAGATTCTCCAAATGCACCAAAATGCTGCCCTTCCTGAATTGCAAGCTGACTTGAAGCAGAGGAATGAAATTTCCTTTCCAAGTTAGAACAAATGCACCCATTAGCATTTTTTAAAGATTTATTTTATTTGAAAAAGTTAGAGAGAGGTAGAGCCAGAAAGAGAGAGAGAGCCAGAGAGAGAGAGAGAGAGAGAGAGAGGTCTTCCAACAGCTGGTTCACTCCCCCATGACTGCAATGGCCAGTGCTGAGATGATCCAAAGCCAGGAGCTAGAATCTTCTTCTGGGTCTCCCAAATGGGTACAGTGCCCCAAGGACTCGGGCCATCTTCCACTGCTTTCCCAGGACTTAGCAGAGAGCTGGCTCAGAAGTCGAGCAGCTGGGACATGAAGCGGCACCCATATGGGATGCCAGAACTGTAGGCCAAGACTTTAACCTGCTGTGCCACAGCGCCAGCCCCAGCATCAATTTCTTATAGGACCATCCCCTTGATCTTCTGAGACTCTGCTCCATACCAGTGAAAAGACACATTTTTACCTTCTAAGCTACACACAGATTCAGCGAGAGCCTCCAGAGCACCATGGGTTGCTCTGCCACCCTGGCATCCCAGGAAGATCACACAGTCCCAGCAGGAAGCACTCAGCTCCACCCTGAGGCAGCACTCATAAATCCACCATGCATGTCTGCGATCAAGTGGTCACACAGATCCAAGGAACTCTGTTACATGTTTTCTGGCCTCTGGACACTCAGAAGTCAACTCAGTACATTTCCAGAGGCCAGAGCCTCTACACCTAGGACCAAGCAGCTCAGAACATGTCCTGGGGGTTGGGGCAGTAAACTTCCCAAGGCAGGAAAGGTTCAAGTTGCACATAAAGTCCTGACCTCCTGTCCAAGATCCATTTGTGGAGCTCTTAAGGTGACCTTAGTTATAAGGGGGATGTTTTGGATGCAACATTTCTTTTTTTTTTTTTTTTTTTTTGGCAGGCAGAGTTAGAGAGAGAGAGAGAGAGACAGACAGACAGGTCTTCCTTTTCTGTTGGTTCATCCCCCAAATGGCTGCTATGGCCGGCGCGCTGTGCTGATCTGAAGCCAGGAGCCAGGTGCTTCCTCCTGATCTCCCATGCAGGTACAGGGCCCAAGCACCTGGGCCATCCTCCACTGCCTTCCCGGGCCACAGCAGAGAGCTAGACTGGAAGAGCAGCAACCAGGACAGAATCCAGTGCCCCAACCAGGACTAGAACCCGGGGTGCCAGCACCACAGGCGGAGGATTAGCCAAGTGAGCCACGGCACTGGCCTGGATGCAACATTTCTATCATCGGCCTTGTGTGAAACTTGATTGCCAGGCTCAGAGCAGGAATACAGCAGGAATAGACTGTCCCCTGACTCATTTGTGAACACAGTTCTGACAGTGTGGTACCATAGAAGCACTAAGCGGAGTCGTGGGGACTCAGAATGCTGAGAGAACCTGCAGGAGGTCTCTGCCACACAGCAGCATTCCAGTTCCTCTCAGTGCTCAAGGCCAGGAATGAGGAGCCTTACACCGGAAAAAGATACCAGCCCTAGCTGGAAAAGGAAAATCAAGGAGTTTGATCACAAGACAGTATGACTAGCTAGTCCACACAACCCTCAGGGAGCTGACTTAGTAAGACATTAAGTCTGCCCAGGTGCCCTGGAGTGTCATACAATTAGACCTGGACGGGTTAAAGCCAATGGGTTATACTCAGTAGCCAGGGATAACCTCATGGGCGTGCAGCCTACATAGTCACATAGGAACAGTCACACAGGGCTGGCACTCAGAAGGGCCTGCACTGGGTTTAAACCTCTGCTGGTGGTGTCTTAAAAAGCCTCAAACTTTTATCTCTGAACTTGTGTTTTGTAAGCAAGTCAAAAGAACATGAGTCTGAGCCAAGGAGATACATGGAAGAAAGGAAAGAGCTTTATGTTTTAGTATCTTTAGTGGCACTTTACCGCTGCCTTTGGAACAAGGTGCTCACAAAATTGTGCAGCAGGCCCAGTTAGCAGTGGTGAGGTAAACCCCTCACAAGTAGCCAGCCACACTTTGAAGGAAGAACTATTCAGGGATGGGCTTTTGGTATAGCAGCTAAGCTACTACTGCAATCCCCACAGCCCATGAGAGTGCCCAGGATCAAGTCCTGGCTGAAGTCCTGATTCCAGCTTCCTACTACTCCAACCTGGGAGGCAGCAGGTGATGGCTCAAGTACTTACATTCCTGCTATTCACATAGGAGACTTGGATTGAGTTCCCAGACCCTGGCTTTACATACCTTTCCAGCTTTTGTGGGCATTAGGGAAGTAAACTAACGCATGAAATATTTCTTTCTTCTTTTGAAATAAAGAATAAAGAATAATAAAAAAAAGTCTAATCACCAGGGACCTTGAGGATTCCTCAAACCCTCTGGTCCTAACCCTACCAGCAAATCTCCTTTCATACCTCAGGGTCCCTCTTAAAATTCAGTTCCAGTCCCAGGGTGGCAAGGTGTCCTCCTCAGACTCTCCCAACAGCTCAAGACTCCCCACTGGTGTGTACCAGGACACAAGACCTATATTAACAAATCACGGCATGAGGCCATTGCATTAGGAAGAAGCGTCCTTAGTGACACAGCTCAAGTCCCTGTAGTTATGCTGCACACAAAGACAAGCCCAAAGACTAGGAGCACTGGTTTTCACCAGCTACCACCTCTCTGATACCCCAACTCTGGAACTGCTGGAAGCTGAGGTTCCAACCCCAGGAGGGACACAACTCTGGGGCAAGCACAGCCTGATTTAAACTGGAACTTCACTGATCTCTATAGATGGCCTAGGGCTGGTTCCCACTTCCTTTAACTCATATTTCTTTTTTTTGACAGGCAGAGTGGACAGTGAGAGAAAGGTCTTCCTTTTGCCGTTGGTTCACCCTACAATGGCCGCCATGGCTGGCGTACTGCGCTGATTTGAAGGCAGGAGCCAGGTGCTTATCCTGGTCTCCCACGGGGTGCAGGGCCCAAGAACTTGGGCCATCCTCCACTGCACTCCCGGGCCACAGCAGAGAGCTGGCCTGGAAGAGGGGCAACCGGGACAGAATACGGTGCCCTGACCAGGACTAGAACCTGGTGTGCCAGCGCTGCAAGGCAGAGGATTAGCCTATTGAACCATGGCACTGGCCCTTAACTCATATTTAAAAGGCTATCAGTGGTGCCTTCCTCACAGAGCTTTGAAGAGGATTAGACAGGACAATGTTGTATAATTAAATAAAACTCTTGCTTCCCCTCCTTGTGTTGTTATTTAGAAATGAGACAATGGTACATTAAGAAGCCTGACCACTGAAAGTGCTTCATTAATGCTGATTCTCTTAAACATCCTTTCTTGTCCCTTCTACCTTTATTCCTGTAAACAGACCTTTCTATAACCAACAGTTCCTGTCCCAAGATCCAACAGTGAGTGCATTGTTAATTCTGCATAAGCTGAATTCCAACTGTGTACCAGGGACTACAGGAATGAAAGCAGAGAGACAAAGTCCTGCCCTGGACAAGCTCACAGTTTTATACAGGATATAGGTATTTAGCAAATAAATGGTGATGAAATGGGTAAGCAATTTACATGTATGGGTAGTGTGTTACAGAAGCTCTGGATACTTAGTTTTGCTGGGGGGAATGAGAGAAAAGTATCATAGAGAAGGAAGACACCCATATGGGATGCTGGTACTACAGGCGGCAGCTTCATCCACTATGCCACTGTTCTGTCGGCCACCCCACCCCCACCCGCAGGCTGTTCCCACTTGTGATCCAGATGTATGCTGAAATGCCTAGGAAAGCAGAGGATGCACCCCAAGAACTTGGGCCCCTGAACCCACTCTGGAGTACTGGATAAAGTACCTGGCTTCTGCTCCCGCCTGGCCCAGCCCTGGTAATGTAGTCACCTGGGGGGTGAACCCATACACGAAGATCTCTCCCACACCTCCTCATCTATAATTCTGCCTTTCAAACCAGTATTTAAATAGAAAAAAATATCTAGTACTTACTATGAGGTGTCAGAATCTTGGGACAGCCTGGAACACAGCACAGAGGGATTCTTGGCATTTCTCTAAGCTTCTGCTTTCTCCTTCGTGTGTGCAGCCTGTGAAAATTCACCAGATTATGTGCCAATTAATTAGAGCGTCCCCGTGCCCCCGTTTTCCTGCACACACACCTTATGCTTCCTAACAACCTGGAGAAGAGAGGCTGTGAGTCAAGTCCCCCTCTCAAGGACGTGGCAAAGGCTACTTCTGGCCAGGGATAGAAAAGCCCCAAGACAGAACCAGGCCTGTGGGAAAAGTTCTACCTCTCCCAATCCCCACCACCACACATGCCCACCAGCACTCCTGTCACTCTCCCCCTCCCTTTCCTCTCCCCCACATGGGTTTCTGCCCCTCCCTACCTTGCCTCCCCACCTTCATGCCACCTTTTCATTCTCCCCCCTTCCTCTCTCCTCCAGCCTCCTCTTGACACCCACTCTTCTCCACCTTCTATCTCAGCTACCCCTCACACACACCCTCCCCACTCACTGTCCCCCGGGCCCCTCCTACCCAGTGACAGGAAGGCCACCATGCCAAACTCTCCACAGAAAGAGCCTTTCTGTTCCTCTGACACAGGAATCCAGACCTGAGGTGTAGTCTTTCAGAGGGGCCAAAGAAGAGGACTGTGCCTAGAAAGTTCCAGAAGCACAAGATAACTGAGTGGCTGCCTCACCAGAGTTTCACCTAATCCTGGCTTGACCCTGGGGGGGTGGGGGGGGAGGCACTGTATCTCCTCAGGCTCAGCCACCAGCATCGAAATCAGCAACTCAGGGCTTGCATAAGCTCTGAGCTGGGGCAGACATGACGCTGACTCCCACCGGAGCACCATGCAGAAGAAACAGATGCACCTGCGGGTGCACTTCCGGGTCACAGTGCTGGGCACAGGCACACTCCTCACTGGTGACTGACAGGGCACCAAGGGATGCAGCTACGCCCTGATGCCCCAGGACCACTTCCATTCCTGCCTCATCAGGCTGTGACCCAGGGAGGCAGCCACTGACGGCCCAGGCACTCTGGACCCAGCCACCCTGTCTAGTGGGAGTCCTGAATGGAGCTCCTGCCTCCTGGCTTCTGCCTGGACCAGCGCTGCCCCTTGCTGCTGCTTGGGGAGAGCAGCAGTGCAAGCAGCATCATGAGCACTCTTTCTCACTCTGAGTGATCATCCATCTGGGGGGTTACCCCCCAGGTGGCTAAAAAGGCCAGGGCTTGGCCAGGCCAAAGCAGAAGCCAGGGACTTTATCCGGTGCCCAATTCTGGGTTCAGGGTCCTAAGACCTTGGGCCTTCTCCCTCTGCTTTCCCAGCAATGTTCGCAGACAGCAGCATTCCATGGGCAATGGCTTCCGGAGGACCTGGCATTGTGGGGTAGTGGCTATAGCCACCACCCACATCGCACATCCCATCTAGGCGCCAGTTCGAGTCCTGGATGCTGCACTTCTGATGTGGCTCTCTGCCGTGGTTTGGGAAGGCAGTAGAAGATGGCCCAACTCCTTGTGCCCTTGTACCCATGAAGGAGACCACAGGGAGGTTCCGGGCTCCTGCTTTTAGATCTCCTCTGCTCTGGCCATTGCAGCCGAATAGGAAGTGGAACAGCAGATGGAAAACCTATGTATCTGTCTCTCTCTTTCTCTCTCTCGCTCTCTCTGCCTCCCATCCTCTCTGTGTATATGTCTGAATTTCAAATAAATAAATATTTAAGAAAAAGTAAAAATTAAAAAAGGAAGACATAGCTGTAAATAAAATACAGGCCAACTACTAGAGTTTATTTACAAACTGATACTATAGGTATTGCATACCAAATAGACACAGAATTTGAAAAACAATTTAAATCAGGCTTAGAAAAGATTCTAGTACCAATTCATTCTCTTCTTCCTTACAAACATTCTGTGTGGCATTATCTCTGACTTAAGCATGAGGAAATCTTTGTAATTTATTTATTCAGACACTTATGTACCCACTCACACAAGGACTTGAAACATCTGTGATCTACAGAGTTCTCCATGGAACACAGGTCTACTTCCCAGACACCACCCTGCACAGTCTAGCCCTGCATTTAAAGTACGGATCATGTTGGAAACAGGCCAAATCACATGTCCCACAAAGCAAGAGAGAATACAGAAAGGTAGCATCTGAGGTCACTATTCACATTTTCTACATGCACACGATCATGTTGGTACTTCTTCTCTAATTTCTCATTGTAGATACAAATTGGGAGGGAGGAAGTCCAACTATCCGTATTTGCAGATGACACAATTCTATATATAGGAGATCCAAAAGACTCCACTAAGAGACTATTGAAATTCAGAGTAGAGTTAGGTAATGAGCCAGGAAAAAAAATCAAGTCTTTGTATACACAGACAATGTCATGGCTGAGAAAGGAATTCTAAGATCAATCCCGTTCACATAGCTACAAAGAAAATAAAAAGCTTGGAATAATTTAACCAAGGATGTTCAACATCTGGGAATCACAAAAGATTAAAGAGAGAGATACAAGAGGACACCAAAAAAAAAAATGGAGAAGCTTCTGCCCTGCAAAAGAAAACACTCAGCCAAGTAAAGAGGCAACTAACGGAATGGGAGAAATTATATGCAAAGTATGCAACTGATAAAGGATAAACTAAACCACAAGAAACTTTCAAAAAATTCAACTACAGCAAAACAAACCACCCACTCAGGAAATGGGCAAGGGGCTTCCACAGGCATATTTCAAGAAAGGAAATCTAGGAGAAACAGTGACTTGATCAGCTCTTGTCCTGACTGTTGACGTACAATGTAATACTTTATCCATTTTAGTATTTTTTTTGTTTTGTTCTAGTACTATTGGTTGAACTCTGTAATTAACACACAATTATTCTTAGGTGTTTAAATTTTAACTGAAAAGTGATCCCTGTTAAATATAAGAGTGGGAATAAGAGAGGGAGGAGATGTACAATTTGGGACATGCTCAATCGGACTTGCCCCAAATGGTAGAGTTAGTAAAGTGCAAGGGGATTCCAATTCAATCCCAACAAGGTGGCATGTACCACTGCCATCTCACTAGTCCAAGTGATCAATTTCACTTCACAACTGATCACACTGATAGGTCTAAGAGTCAAAGGGATCACACAAACAAGACTAGTGTCTGCTAATACTAACTGACAGAATCAAAAAGGGAGAGAATGATCCAACATGGGAAGTGAGATACACAGCAGACTCATAGAATGGCAGATGTCCTAAATAGCACTCTGGCCTCAGAATCAGCCCTTAAGGCATGCGAATCTAGCTGAAGTGGCCATGAGAGTATTTTAGGCATGGAAAGCCAAGACACCCTGGAAAAAAAGAAAAAAAAGAAAAAAAAAAAAAAAAACCTAAATGGAAGATCTCTGTGAGTGATATCCCAGTGGAAAGAAATGGGCCATCAAAGAAGGAGTTACCTTTCTCTGAAGGGAGGAGAGAACTTCCACTTTGACTATGACCCTGTCGGAATAAGATTGAAGTCGGTTAACTCAAAAGGCTTCCATAGTCTTGGCAGCTCATGACTAGAGCCTAGGGAGATTACTGACGCCATAAACAAGAGTGCCAAATTGTTAAGTCAACAACAGGAGTCATTGTGTACTTACTTCTCATGTGGGATCTGTCCTTAGTGTGTTGTCCAATGTGAAGTAATGCTATAACTAGTACTGAAGCAGTATTTTACACTTTGTGTTTCTGTGTGGGTGCAAACTGATGAAATCTTTATTTAATGTATACTGAATCAATCTTCTGTATATAAATATAATTGAAAATGAATCTTGATGTGAATGGAATGGGAGAGGGAGCGGGAGATGGGGGGGGTGTAAATGGAAGGGAAATTATGTGTGTGGGGGGAGCCATTGTAATCCATAAACTGTACTTTGGAAATTTATATTTACTAAATAAAAAAAAAGAAAAAGAAAAAAGAAAAAAAAGAAAGGAAATCTAAATGTCCAACAAACATATGTAGAAATGCTAAGTATCACTAGCCATCAGGGAAATGCAAATCGATATTACAATTACCTTGAATATGTGAGGGAAAAGGCACCCTAATCCACTGCTGGTGGGAATGTAAACTGGTATCACCACTATGGAAGACAGTATGGAGATAAGTCAGAAATCTGGATACAGACGTAGCATATGAGCCAGCCACTCCAGCTCTGGGAATGCACCCAAGGGGAATGAAATCAGCATACAAAAAAAGAGTTCTCTCTGCCCCCATATTTACCACAGCTCAATTCACAAGAGCAAACATATGCCATCAGCCAAAATGCCGATCACCTCAAGACTGAATAAAGACATTACGGGCTATGGACATCATATATGCGTCTGCAGACTGAATAGCCTGGCTATTGTGCATCCTACTGCAATAAGCATAGGCCTGCGAAAGCCTCTCTGTCTATACAATGATTTCGTTTCCTTCAATATGTTCCCAGTAGTGGGTACACCCATACAGTTTTCCATGTTGACAGGACCAATTTCACATGAGAAACTGTATTGCTCTACAGGTATATATTACAGAATACAGACATCAGATCCATAAACCCAATTTTACCTACAAACACTAGAACAGCAAAGTAAATCTTAAGAAACCGGAAGGAGGAAAACGATTCAAAGGGAAATCAATCCAACAGCATAGAAAAATCACTAAAGACATTCACTGAGACCAAAATACAGTTCTGGAAAACTCAGTGAAACTGACAAAAGAGGAAACAGGGGGGGAAAGGAGAACAGACTCAAGTGACTTGACAACAGAAATGACAGAGAGGACATCACTACCAACCTTGCCAAAATAATAAACCAAAAATACTAGGGAAAAACCAGGCACGGGGATTTGGTCAACCTAGATAGAGTGGCTTGATTCTCAGAAAGATGCCAACCACTAAACCTGAATACAGTAAAACAAGAAATTCTGAATACACTTATAATTTGAAAAGAGACTGTAGCTGCAGGGAAACAGAAACAAACGAAAAAGACAAGAAGGAAAGTCCAGTGAGAACTCCACTTAAAAGATAATTAAAATCCGTGATTCACACACCATCCCAAAAAGGGGATGAAGAGGAAAAGCCTTCCATTTCATTCCATCAGACCAGCATTATCCCAACATCCCAAACAAGCACACCACAAAGAAAATGGCACACAAATATCCGTCGTGAATGTGTCACAGGCCTCAACAAAATATGATCAGATGCCATCCAGAAGCACAACCAAAGCTTAGCACACTGGGCGCAACTGAGTTTCTCCAGAAATGCAAGGATGCATTTCTACCATACAAAATCAATCTATCACAGAACAGAACACACATGGGGAAAGCCCACAAAGTATCCCGACAGACACAGAAAACCTATTCCACAAAAACTCCCGTGACTTGTGCGATACTAAAAACCAAATCATCAAATTAGGAACGGAAGGTACACCTCGGCCTGACAAGGCTCTTTCATTAAAAACCCACAGAGCGCTAATATCACACCCAATGCCAGGAACCCGAAACTGTCCTCCTAGATCAGGACACAGACACGCACTTTCGCTCTCATTCCTCCTGACAACAGTCTCAGAGGTCTAGAGCAGGGAGGCTGGGCCCTGGAAAAGCAAACAGACAAGAACACAAGGCCGTTCCGGGAGGAGACCCAGCCACCTCTGCTCTTGCACAGCTGCAAGCACCCTGGGGACCCTTCCAGACCGTCCGCACTGCACGACAGCGACTCCACCCGCGCCTTCAGGACCCAAGAGCAACAGGCACGCCTGCAGCCAAGACCCCCAGCGGGACACCGCAACAGCCACGTGTCACTCACCTCCGGGCGGGGGGCGGGAGGGGCAGTCTGCCGGCGGGACAGAGGTCCGCGAAGGCCATTGCTTCCCGAAGGGGCCAAAGAATAGAAACACGCCTGGGAAATGGCGCGGAAGCCTTGGACCCGCACCCTCTCCTGATCCTGGCCTGACCCTGGGGCCGCTGGGTCTCCCTCAGGCTCTGTCAGCAGCATCAAGTAGGGCTCCTCTCCCCACCTCTTGCATGGGCTCTCGGGCAGGAGCAGACGCGGCGCTGACTCCCAGCGGAGCAGCGTGGGCAGTTGAGGCCAGGCGTGTGGGTGCACTTCCGGGTCACAGCGCCAGGCCCAGGCGCAGGCGCACTCCCCACGGGCCGTCACCATGGCACCCCAGGACACATCTGCACACTGCTGCATCCACGCGGTGATCCAGGGACGCAGATGCTGATAGCCCACGTTCTCTGCAGCCCACCCTCATTGTAATCCATAAGCTGTACTTTGGAAATTATATTCATTAAATAAAAGTTAAAAAAAATTTAAAGAATAACAATACTCACTTTTCACTTGCTTCTCAGGTAGGACCTCTGTCCCTATTGAATAGTAATATGAGAATTGACTGCAAATTCTCTCCCCAAACTGTACTCTATATGTTGTATGTTGGCATGGGTGCAAATTGCTGAAGTCTATGATTAGCATAGAATTGGTTTTCTATATATACAGTCATACTAAAAATGATCCATAATGAAGAATGAGATGGGAGAGAGAATGGGAGCTGGGATGGAGGTTGGAGGGATATGGGGAAAGAACCACTATAGTCCTAAAGTTGTATCTATGTAAAAATGTATTCATTAAATAAAAATTAAAATTAAAATAAAAAAATGCTCAGGATCACTAGACATCAGGGAAATGGAAATCAATTCTACAATGGCCTTGAGCATGTGAGGGAAAAGGCACCCTAATCCACTGCTGGTGGGAATGTAAACTGGTATCACCACTATGGAAGACAGTATGGAGATAAGTCAGAAATCTGAATACAGACGTAGCATATGAGGCAGCCACACCAGCTCTGGGAATGCACCCAAGGGGAATGAAATCAGCATAAAAAAAGAGTTCTCTCTGCCCCCACATTTACCACAGCTCAATTCACAAGAGCAAACATATGCCATCAGCCAAAATGCTGATCACCTCAAGACTGAATAAAGACATTACGGGCTATGGACACCATACATGCGTCTGCAGACTGCATAGCCTGGCTATTGTGCATCCTACTGTAATAAGCATAGGCCTGCGAAAGCCTCTCTGTCTACACAATGATTTCATTTCCTTCAATATGTTCCCAGTAGTGGGTACATCCATATAGTTTTCCATGTTGACAGGACCAATTTCACATGAGAAACTGTATTGCTCTACAGGTATATATTACAGAATACAGACATCGGATCCATAAACCCAATTTTACCTTCAAACACTAGAACAGCAAAGTAAATCTTAAGAAACTGGAAGCAGGAAAATGAGTCAAACGGAAATGAAGTCAACGGCATAGAAAATATCACAACAAAAATTCAGTGAGACCAAAATACAGTTCTTGAAAACTCAGTGAAACTGACACTACGTTTATACACGTGAAACAAGCAAAAAAGAGAACAGACTCAAATGACTTAACAAGAGAAATGACAGAGAGGACATTACTAACAACCTTACTAAAATAATAATCAAAAACACTATGGGAAAACGAAGGCACAAGAATTTGGTCAATGTGGATACAGTGGATTGATTCTCAGAAAGAAACCCCAAAACTGATTGTAGTCAAACTAGAAACTGTGAATATACTTTTAAATTGAAATGAGACTGTATTAGCAGGGAAACCAAAAACCAAACACAAAAAATGAATATAATTCCAGGACCACAAGGCTTCACCAGTGAGAACTCCCAGTTACAGGGTAATTAAAATCCATGATTCACAAATCCTTCCAAAAAGGAGATTAAGAGGGAAAACATCCAATTTTCTTCCATCAGACCAGCATTATCCCAACATCGAAAACAAACACATAATAAAGAAAGTGGCATATAAATATCTGTCATGAATCTGTCATAATCCTGAACAAATTGCCAAATGTGATCCAGAAGCACAACTAAAGCTTAGCTCACAGTGCGCAACTGAGAGTTACTCCAGGAATTCAAGGTTGGCTACCATACAAAATCAATATATCCCAGAACAGAATCAACAAGAGAAAAGGCCACACGTTATCCCTACAGACACAGAAAAACTATTTCACAAAAACTTCCATTACTTTCTCCGATATTAAAAAAAAAAAAAATCATCAAATTAGGAACGGAAGGTACACCTCGGCCTGACAAGGCTCTTTCATTAAAAACCCACAGAGCGCTAATATCACACCCAATGCCAGGAACCCGAAACTGTCCTGACCAGGACACAGACATGCATTTTTGCTCTCGTTCCATCAACAGTCTCAGAGGTCTAGAGCAGGGAGGCTGGGTCCTCAAAAAGCGAACAGAAGGGAACACATGGCCCTTCAGGGAGGAGACCCAGACACCTCTGCTCTCACACAGCTGCTCGCACACTGGGGACCCTTCCAGACTGTCCACACAGCACAACCGACCGCGACTCCACCCGCGCCTTCGGGACGCACGAGCAACAGGCACGCCTGCAGCCAAGACCACCAGCGGGAAACCGCAACAGCCGCACGTCACTCACCTCCAAGGGGGCCTGGTCTGCTGGCGGGACAGCCATTGCTTCCAGAAGGGGCTGAAGAAGAAAAATACCACATTTCTGTTGGCTGCAGACCAGTGCAGGGAGCTGCCCCACGGGGCTGTGCCCTCTACATTCCCTCCTTCTCACCATTAAACAGCCCAGTGAAGCAGGCTGGGAAAATTGTAGGATACCTGGTGCCACTTAGTATAGCCACTAATGCCATCAGGTGACCTTGACAGACAACAAATTACAAGGACTTCTTGGCTCCATGTGGGGGGCCTCTGCATCCAGGCAGAGCCTTGTAGCAGAAGCACTTTGGGAACACATGTGCAATGCACACAGAGGAACACGGGAGGGTACGGTAGGAATGAATGAATAAGGGCCTCTGGCTTCTTGCTTCCATAAGTCAGTGTGGCCCTGTGGTGACAGATAAAGAAAGAAAGGCTGTGGTTCCCTGGCAGTAAGATTCTCAGCAAGAGGACCACCCGTGTTCAAGGCCAGTATCTCCCTCCAGACCCTCCCCTTGCCCACCGCCTTAACACAGGTCAAGCTGCATGGCTGGAAGAAATCCCAAGCAAAGACGTGAGCCAACACTCTGGCCTGTCTGTCCTGGTGGACGCTCAGTCAGGGAAGAGTTATCCTTTCCCTAAATCCTGCCCTTCACAGCTCAAGCTGCAGATCCTCTCTGTTAAAGTCTGTCCCCCTAGAGTCAACCAAACCACACTCAGACCTGACCAGAGTAGCTACAGATCCCAGGGGAGCTCATGCTCAGGGCAGCTGAGGACATGAAGACCACCACACAGACCATGGATCCCACCAAAGGTGTCCTGCAAGTCTGAACCACAGGGGGTGTGAGCAGTGCGATGACAGTGCGAGCCACTGCTCAGAGGGAACCAATTTAAGACCCAGCCCTGGCCGGCGCCGCGGCTCACTAGGCTAATCCTCCGCCTAGCGGCGCCGGCACACCGGGTTCTAGTCCCGGTCGGGGCGCCGGATTCTGTCCCGGTTGCCCCTCTTCCAGGCCAGCCCTCTGCTGTGGCCAGGGAGTGCAGTGGAGGATGGCCCAGGTGCTTGGGCCCTGCACCCCATGGGAGACCAGGAAAAGCACCTGGCTCCTGGCTCCTGCCATCGGATCAGCGCGGTGCGCCGGCCGCAGCGCGCCGGCCGCGGCGGCCATTGGAGGGTGAACCAACGGCAAAGGAAGACCTTTCTCTCTGTCTCTCTCTCTCACTGTCCACTCTGCCTGTCAAAAAAAAAAAAAAAAGACCCAGCCCTGGCACAGCCACCAGATGCCAGTGACACGGCTGTCATAACAGCTCATCTTCTCTCCTAGGCCAAGCAAGGATGCACCCCAGAGCTTCTCGCCGCTGCCACAGCAGGAGCCCTGCTCTTCCTGGTGTGAAACAGTACGCAGGGACTGCACTGGCCTGCAGCCAACAGAAATGTGGTATGCATCACTCCTCTCCTGGATGCCATTCCCAGCCTTGGGACCACAGTTCAACTGTGGCCAGACACGAGGTGGTAGTGGCAACAGGGAGCACACACTTTATCTGCACCTGTCACTGCATGGGCAGCCCTATCCTCCTCTGGCCAGGCAACTGCTTGGGAGCTGGAGCCAAGGGACTGCAGCAGGAGTGACAGCTGCTCTGAATAGGCCTTGTCATTCTCTTCCTAGCATGTCACCCACTAATAATATTTTTACTGTTAGGCCTCAGCTAAGGGATATTATCAGAACAAATAAGTGAAGGCATAGAAAGACAGTTGACAAGAAGGCCCTTTTACTGAAGTAATTACAGACAACTTGTTTAATTTGAGGAAAGGAACAGTGGAGCACAGGAAGCACATGGAAGTCCTAATACACACGACCTGAAAGATCTTCACCGTGACTCACCGCAGTCAAATTCTGCACACTCCAACATGCAGAAGGACACTAAAATCATACAAGAGAAACACCAGACCCTTTTCATAAGATCTCTGATTAGAATCACATCTGACTTCTCATCAGACACCCTATATGGGCTAGGAGAAAGTGGGGAGATGTATGCCAAGTCTTAAAAAAAAAAGAGCTGTTAACCAAAAATAAAGTACTTTGCAAATCTCTCACTTATGAAACAAGATGAAATAAAAAATTAGAGCCTGGTGAGGACATTTCGTCTGGCCTCTTGACACACACTTCTTCTGCTCCACAATAAACTTTCCACTTCAGCTTCCTGTGACTTTCTGAAGTATCCACCTGTATCTACTCAAGACATTGAATCCAGTTATAAATCCTCAAACAAAGAAAATGATAAGCCCTCCTATCCAATACCACTTCACTAGGCCATAAAGTAAGTCTCAGCAAATTCAAAAGAATTAGAATCATACCATACAGCTTCTCAGACCATAGTGGAATGAAGGTGGAAATTAGCAACTCAGGAATCCCTAGAGCATATGCAAACACATGGAGATTGAACAACATGCTCCTGTATGACACTGTGTCTTAGAAGAAATCAAAAACTTTCTGGAAGTAAATGAGGATAACAGCCCAACATATCAAAACTTATGGGATACAGCAAAAGCAGTGTTAAGAGGAAAGTTTATAGTAATAGGTGCCTACATAAAGAAATTGGAAAGGCACCAAATAAATGAGCTTTCGATTCATCTCAAGGATCTAGAAAAACTGCAGAAAACCAGACCCAAATCTAGTAAGAGAAGAGAAATAATTAAAATCAGAGAAGAAATCAATAGGATTGACTCCAAAAAAAATTTACAAAAAAATCAGCAAAACGAGGAGCTGGTTTTTGGAAAAAATAAACAAAATAGTCACCCCATTGACACAACTAAATAAAAAAAGAAAAGACTCAAATCAATAAAATCAGAGATGGAGGAGAGAACCTCCACTTTGACTATGACTTTGTCTAAACAAGATAAGAGTCGGAGAACTCAAGGGGCTTCCATAGCCTTGGAAACTCATGACTGGAGCATTGGGAAATTACTGAGGCCATAAACAAGAGTGTCAATTTGTAAAGTCAACACCAGGAGTCACTGTGCACTTACTCCTCATGTAGGATCTCTGTCCTTAATGTGCTGTACATTGAGACTTAATGCTATAACGAATACTCAAACAGTGTATTTCACTTTGTGTTTCTATGGGGGTGCACACTGTTGAAAGCTTTACTTAATGTATACTAAACTGATCTTCTGTAAAGAAAAAAAAGAAGAAATTATCAATTCCCAACTTGACTCTCACTGGGATTAAACATGACAATAGGTCTGATCTGATTTCATCATCATTTAAAAAATCATCTATTATTTTTCACTTTATGTTTCTGTGTGGGAGCAAACTGTTGAAATCTTTACTTAATGTATGCTAAACTGATCTTCTGTATATAAAGAGAATCGAAAATGAATCTTGATGTGAATGGAAGGGGAGAGGGAATGGGAGAGGGGAGGGTTGCGGGTGGGAGGGACGTTATGGGGGGGAAGCCATTGTAATCCATAAGCTGTACTTTGGAAATTTATATTCATTAAATAAAAGTTAAAAAAATAAAAAAAATAAAATCAGTGATGAAAAAGGAGGCATAACAACAGACACCACAGAAATAAAAAGAATCATCAGAAAGTACTACAAGGACATGTATGCCAGCAAACAGGGAAATCTACCAGAAATAAACAGTAATAAAGGTCCTCCCAACAAAGAAAAGCCCAGGACCAGATGGATTCACTGCTGAATTCTACCAGACATTTAAAGAACTAACTCTAATTCTTCTCAAACTATTCAGAACAATCAAAAAAAGGGAATCCTCCCAAATTCTTTCTATGAAGCCAGCATCACCTTAATTCCTAAGCCAGAAAAAGATGCAGCATTGAAAGAAAATTACAGACCAAAATCCCTGATGAACATAGATGCAAAAATCCTCAATAAAATTCTCGCCAATACAATGCAACAACACATCAGAAAGATCATCCACCCAGACCAAGTGGGATTTATCCCTGGTATGCAGGGATGGTTCAATGTGCACAAATCAGTGTGATACACCACATTAAAAAGCTGCAGAAGAAAAACCATATTATTATCTCAATAGACGCCGAGAAAGCATTTGATAAAACACAACACCCATTCATGATGAAAACCCTAAGCAAACTGAGTATAGAAGAAACATTCCTCAATACAATCAAAGCGATTTATGAAAAACCCACGGCCAGCATCCTATTGAATGGGGAAAGTTGGAAGTATTTCCACTGAGATCTGGTACCAGACAGGGATACCCACTCTCACCACTGCTATTCAACATAGTTCTGGAGGTTTTAACCAGAGCTGTTAGGGAAGAAAAAGAAATTAAAGGGATACAAATTGGGAAGGAAGAACTCAAATTATCCCTCTTTGCAGATGATATGATTCTTCATTTAGGGGACCCAAAGAACTCTACTAAGAGACTATTGGGACTCATAGAAGAGTTTGGCAAAGTAGCAGGATATAAACTCAATGCACAAAAATCAACAACCTTTGTATACACAGGCAATGCCATGGCTGAGGAAGAACTTCTAAGATCAATCCCATTCACAATAGCTACAAAAACAATCAGATACCTTGGAATCAACTTAACCAAGGATGTTAAAGATCTCTACGATGAAAATTACAAAACCTTAAAGAAAGAAATAGAAGAGGATACCAAGAAATGGAAAAATCTTCCATGCTCATGGATTGGAAGAATCAACATCATCAAAATGTCCATTCTCCCAAAATCAATTTATAGATTCAATGCAATACCAATCAAAATACCAAAGACATTCTTCTCAGATCTAGAAAAAATGATGCTGAAATTCATATGGAGGCACAAGAGACCTCGAATAGCTAAAGCCATCTTGTACAACAAAAACAAAGCCAGAGGCATCACAATACCAGATTTCAGGACATACTACAGGGCAGCTGTAATCAAAACAGCATGGTACTGGTACAGAGACAGATGGATAGACCAATGGAACAGAATGGAAACACCAGAAATCAACCCAAACATCTACAGCCAACTTATTTTTGATCAAGGATCCAAAACCAATCCCTGGAGTAAGGACAGTCTATTCAATAAACGGTGCTGGGAAAATTGGATTTCCACGTGCAGAATCATGAAGCAAGATCCTTATCTTTCACCATACACAAAATCCACTCAACATGGATTAAAGACCTAAATCTATGACCCGACACCATCAAATTATTAGAGAACATTGGAGAAACCCTGCAAGATATAGGCACAGGCAAAGACTTCTTGGAAAAGATCCCAGAAGCACAGGCAGCCAAAATCAAAGTTAACATTTGGGATTGCATCAAATTGAGAAGTTTCTGTACTGCAAGGCAAACAGTGAGGAAAGTTAAGAGGCAACCGACAGAATGGGAAAAATATTTGCAAACTACGCAACAGATAAAGGGTTAATAACCAGAATCTACAAAGAGATCAAGAAACTCCACAAAAACAAAACCAACAACCCACTTAAGAGATGGGCCAAGGACCTCAATAGACATTTTTCAAAAGAGGAAATCCAAATGGCCAACAGGCACATGAAAAAATGTTCATGATCACTAGCAATCAGGGTAATGCAAATCGAAACCACAATGAGGTTTCACCTCACCCTGGTGAGAATGGCTCACCTTCAGAAATCTACCAACAACAGATGCAGGCGAGGATGTGGGGAAAAAGGGACACTAACCCACTGTTGGTGGGAATGCAAACTGGTTAAGCCACTATGAAAGTAAGTCTGGAGATTTCTCAGAAACCTGAATAGAACCCTACCATTCAACCCAGCCATCCCACTCCTTGGAATTTACCCAAAGGAAATTACACTGGCAAACAAAAAGGCTGTCTGCACCTTAATGTTTATTGCAGCTCAATTCACAATAGCTAAGACCTGGAATCAACCTAAATGCCCATCAACAGTAGACTGGATAAAGAAATTATGGGACATGCACTCTATAGAATACTATACAGCAGTCAAAAACAATAAAATCCGGTCATTTGCAACAAAATGGTGGAATCTGGAACACATCATGCTGAGTGAATCAAGCAAATCCCAAAGGGAGAAATATCATATGTTCTCCCTGATAGGTGACAACTAACCGAGCACCAAAAAGGAAACCTGGTGAAGTGAAATGGAAACTACGAGAAACAGTGACTTGATCAGCCCTTGTCCGGACTGTTGATGTACAATTTCATACTTTACCCCTCTTAGTATTTTTTTGTTCTACTTAATACTATTGGTTGAACTCTGTAATTAACACACAATTATTCTTAGGGGTTTAAAGTTAACTGAAATGTGATCCCTGTTAAATATAAGAGTGGGAATAAGAGAGGGAGGAGATGTACAATTTGGGACATGCTCAAGCTGACTTGCCCCAAATGCTGGAGTTAGAAATGTGCCAGGGCATTCTAACACAATCCCATCAAGTTGGCATGTACCAATGCCATCTCACTAGTCCAAGTGAACAATTTCAGGTCACAATAGATCATAATGATAAGTCTAAGAGTCAAAGGGATCACACAAACAAGACTAGTGTCTGATAATACTAACTGATAGAATCAAAAAAGGAGAGAACAATCCAACATGGGAAGCGGGATACACAGCAGACTCATAGAATGGCAGATGTCCTATACAGCACTCTGGCCTCAGAATTAGCCCTTAAGGCATTTGGATCTGGCTGAAGAGCCCATGAGAGTATTTTAGGCATGGAAAGCCAAGACACTCAGGCAAAAAACAAAAACAAAAACAAAAACCTAAAGGAAAGATCTCTGTGAGTGAGATCCCAGTAGAAAGAACCGGCCATCAAAGAAGGAGGTCCCTTTCTCTGAAGAGAGGACAGAACTTGCACTTTGACTATGACCTTGTCGAAATAAGATCGAAGTCAGCGAACTCAAAAGGTTTCCATAGCCTTGGCAACTCATGACTAGAGACTAGGGAGATTACTGACACCTTAAACTAGAGTGTCAATTTGTTAAGTCAACAACAGGAGTCACTGTGCACTTACTCCTCATGTAGGATCTCTGTCCTTAATGTGTTGTTCAATGTGAATTAATGCTATAAGTAGTACTCAAACAGTATTTTACACTTTATGTTCTGTGTGGGTGAAACTGATGAAATCCTTACTTAATATATACTAAATTGATCTTCTGTATATAAAGATAATTGAAAATGAATCTTCATGTGAATGGAATGGGAGAGGGAGCAGGAGATGGGAGGGTTGTGGGTGGGAGGGAAGTTCTGGGGGGAAGCCATTGTAATCCATAAACTGTACTTTGGAAATTTATATTTACTAAATAAAAGTTAAAAAAATCAATTGTATTGTACCATCATCAACAGGTAGACACTGATTTGAAATTTAAAATAGCCTACTGAAATGAAAACTCGTAAACTCTATCAATAAAATACACAGTATGTTGGCTGAAGATTAAAATGCTGATGAAGGAAACTAAAGAAGATCTAAGTAAATACGCTGTGTATTGGACTGGAAGACTGAATATTATTAATATAACATTTCTTCTAAAATGGTTCTAGGTTCAACACCATTTAAATAAAAAACAAAACAAAACAAAAAAACAACCAACCAAAAAAACCTCCAGCAACAGGTTTTTGAGAAAAAAAAAAAACAAACATGAATATAGTTAGGAAAACTCAAGACAATTGACTATCAACTTCACCATGAAAAACAAGGAACTGGGTGAAATGACAACTGTCTTTCCAGACTTTCAATAAACCTACAATAACCAAGACCTTGCTTTGGGATTCCTGAAACAACAGAAGAAACACGTTTCAACAGAGTAGGATAGTGAATCCAAAAGTAAACCTCATCCCAAAATACATAAGCAACCATAGTTAAAACTACAAAGAGAAATAAACAAAGGCACTATTACACTCACAGACATCAAGACATCTCTTTCGTTACCAGATCAGCAGTCAGACCATCAGTAAGGATGTAGCTGAAAAGAACAGCACCTGAATCAACCAAGTGTTGAACGGATCCTTCGAGGATGCTCTGTCCACAGCACCGCAACATGACACTCTTCTCAGACCCACACGGCACATCCACTCTGACCATGTTTCTGCTGTACAGCAGACCTCAACTCCTAAGGAAGAGTCGCCACACAATGTAAGGTCTCAGATCACAATGCAACCTCTCTACTCAGAGGTCAGTACAAAAAGGCTGGAAAATCCGGCCGGCGCCGCGGGTCAATAGGCTAATCCTCCACCTAGTGGCACTGGCACACCGGGTTCTAGTCCCAGTCACGGTGCCGGATTCTGTCCTGGTTGCCCCTCTTCCAGGCCAGCTGTCTGCTATGGCCCAGGAGTGCAGTGGAGGATGGCCCAAGTCCTTGGGCCCTGCACCCTATGGGAGACCAGGATAAGTACCTGGCTCTTGCCTTTGGATCAGCGTGGTGCACTGGCTGCAGCGGCCACTGGAGGGTGAACCAACGGCAAAGGAAGACCTTCTCTATGTCTCTCTCTCTCTCACTGTCCACTCTGCCTGTCAAAAAAAAAAAAAAAAAGAAAGAAAAAAAAGGCTGGAAAATCCCAAATACTTGCGAGAAGAACAATCAACCAACCTCAAAATAACACATTTATAAATCTCAAATAAAAAATCATTCAAACTAAATGGAAACTGTATCCTGCCCATTTATAGTAATGGATGCATATTTTAGAAAAGAACCACCAAGATCCATGAGCTACACTTTCACCCTAGGAGATCAGAGGAAGAACAGCAACTTAAACACTTAAAGCAAGGTGAGGAAAATGAAATCAATCATGGAGAGATACAAGTACAAGTCGATGGGACTGAAAAAAGCTCAATCACAGAAAAACGTTGACAAAACTAACACTTGGTTCTTTGAACACAAAATTCGTGAACTTCTCAGCACCAACCAAAAAAAAAACTGGTGCAAGTTAATGAGTTGGTTAATGAAACGGTGCCACCATGACTGCATGGACAAGATAACTCTAAAGGAATAGTATGAACAACTCTGTGACCAAAAATTATATAAGATAAATGAACTGCGTGAATGCCTTTGAAACGCAGAATATGCCAAAATCCACCCAAAGGGAAAATGGGAATGCTTCCATAATTACTAAGGAAGTTATAATTTATAACTAGAGTAACACATAATTATAAAGTATCAGAAAATGTATTAGATATAGGTTACTGTATTCACATACCCTGTTTCTGCTCAGCTAAAAAGAAACCGTGGGCAGAAAAGTACTTAAGATACCTGCCTTGTGGCACAGCAGGTTACAACACAGCCTGGAACAATGTCATTCCATATAGACTCCAACTGGATTCCTGCTTGTTATGCTTTTTTTAAAAGCTTTATTTATTCATTTCAAAAGTAGAATTACAGAGAGTCAGAGGGAGAGAGAAAGAGAGAAGGTCTTCCATCCATGTGTTACTCCTCAGATGGACGCGACAGCTGGAGCTGAGTGGATTTGAAGCCAGGAGCCAGGAGCAGTTCCTCCAGGACTCCCACTCAGGTGCAGGGGCCCAAGGACTTGGGCCCTCTTCTATTGCTTTGCCAGGCCACAGCAGAGAGCTGGATCAGATGTGGAGCTGCTGGGACTCGAACCAACACCCATGTGGGATGCTGGTACATGCAGGGGCGGCTTCATCCACTATGCCACGGCTGCTCCCACCCCACCCCTCAACCCCCATCAACCCAGGCTATTCCAACTTGAGATCCAGCTGCCTGCTCAAATGCCTAGGAAAGCAGAGGAAGCACCCCAAGGACTTGGGCCACCTTAACTCGCACTGCAGTACTGGATAAAGTACCTGGCCTCTGCTCCTGCCTGGCCCAGCGCCGGCCATTGTAGCCACCTGGGGTGTGAATCCATACCCTGAAGATCTCTCCTGCACCGCCTCATCTAGAACTCTGCCTTGCAAACCAATTATTCCATAGGAAAAAAAAATACCTAGTACTTACTCTGAGGTGTCAGAATTTTGGACAGGCTGAGCACAGGGGGATTCTTGGCATTTCTCTAAGCTTCTGCTTTCTCCTCCATGTATGCAGTCTGAAAATTCACCGGATTACATTCCAATTAATTCGAGCACCCGTGCCCCCGTGTTCCTGCACACACAACCTTACACTGCTGAACAACCTGGAGCAGAGAGGCCGTGAGTCAAGGCCTCTTCTACAGACGCCAAGGCTACATCTGGCCTGGCACAGAAAACCCCCCAAACCGACCTAGCTCCCAACCCCCCTCCCACACACCCCCCGGGGGCTCCCGTCACTCTCTCCCTCCTTTCCTCTCCCCACACGCCTTTCTTCCCCTCCCTTCCTCGCCTCCCCCCCTTCATTCTCTCCACTTCCTCTCTTCTCCCGCCTCACCTTTGTCCTCCCTCTCCTCCACCTTCTACCCAGTGACACCCCACACACACCCCCTCCCCGCACTCTGCACCTCGAGCCATGCCTACCCCGTGACGGGAAGTCCACCGTGCCGAATCCCCTCACAAAGAGCATTTCTGTTCCTCAGGAACAGGAACCGAGTCCTGAGGTGTAGTCTTCGGGAAGGGGCCGAAGCAGAGGACCGCGCCTGGAAGTTTCCAGAAGCCCAAGGAACTGATGCAGCCGCATCGGGCCGCAGCCTCACCTGATCCTGGCCTGAGCCTGGGGGGCCCTGGGCTCCTCAGGTTTGGCCACCAGCGTCAAAGACGGCTCCTCCAGGCTCGCTCAAGCCGTGGGCAGGAGTGGGCACGGCCCTGACTCCCACCCATGCACTGAGGGCAGAAGCGGCCGCGCCTGTGGGTGCACTTCCGGGTCAAAGCGCCGGGCGCAGGCGCACTCCTCACTGGCCATCGCCATGGCGCCACGGGACGCTCTGTGCGCTGCCGCATCCAGCGCCCGAAACCACAGGCCCGCTTCAGTCAGCTGCTCTTGCTCCAGGTTGTGATCCAGGGAGGCAGCCGCTGAGGCCTGGGTACTCTTCCCTGGCTCGCTGGCTCGCTGCCTCCCTGCCTCCCTGCCTCCCTCGTGGGAGTCCTGAATGGAGCTCCTGCCTCCTGATTTCTGCCTGATCCAGTGCTGGCTGTCAAAGCCATTTGGGGAAGAGAAGCACTGCAGGAGGCATTGCCAGCACTCTTTCTCTCTCTCTCAGTGATCGTCCATCTGCGGGTTCACCCCTCAGGTGGCTGCAAAGGCCAGGGCTGGGACAGGCCAAAGAAGAAGCCAAGGACTTTTTTCTGGTGCTCCATTCTGGGTTCAGGGGCTTAAGCCCTTGGGCCGTCTCCCTCTGCTTTCCCAGACGTGTTAGCAGACAGCTGGATCCCACTGTGAACGGCTTCCGGGAGGGGCCGGCGCTGGGGGGTAGCGGGTCAAGCCACCACCTGCAGTGCCAGCATCCCATATGAAGCCGGTTCGAGTCCCAGCTGGTCCACTTCTGATGCAGTTCTCTGCTATGGTCTGGGAAGGCAGTCGAAGATGGCCCAAGTCCTGGGGACCTGTTCCCATGCAGGAGACCCCAGGGAGGCTCCTGGCTCCTCACCCTGGATCCTCTCAGCGCCAGCCATTGCAGCCAACTGTAAAGTGGACCAGCACATGGATAACCTCTCCCTCTCTCTCTCTCTGACACTCTGCCTCTGCCTCTCATCCTCTCTGTGTGTAACTCTGAATTTCAAATAAATAAATAAGACTTTTTAAAAAAGTAAAACCTAGCTCACTGTAAAGAAAATACTACATCAAGGCCAACTACTAGAGTTTATCTAGAATTTGATACTATATGCATTCCATACCCCATTAACACAGAATACAGAAAGGTAGCCTCTGAGGTCACTGTTGACATTTTCTATTCTCCTGTATATAGGAGATCCAAAAGACTCCACTAAAAGAATATCAAAACTCAGAGTAGAGTTTGGTACAGCAGCAGGATAGAAAATCAACAGCTTTTGTATACACAGACAAGGTCATGATTGAGAAAGGATTTCGAAGACTAATCCCGTTCACATATCTACAAAGAAAATAAAATAGGTTGGAATAAATTTAACCAAGGATGTCCAATATCTGAGAACTATAAAAGATTAATGAAGAGGACACCAAAAAAAAAAAAAAAAAACTCCACAAAGTGAAGCGGCAACTAACAGAATGGTAGAACTTAATCTGCAATGTATGCAGCTGATAAAGGGTTTACTACCAGATATTTTCAAGAAACTCAGCAACAGAAAAACAAACCACCCACTCAAGAAATGGGAAAATGGCTTCAACAGGCATATTTCAATGAACCAAAATGCTGATCAACTGAAAAGTGAATTAAGAAGTTATGGTCTATGTATACCATACATACATATACACACTGCATAGCCTGGCTATTGTGCATCTTGCTGCAATAAGCGTAGGCTTGTGCATCCCTCTGTTACATAATGATTTAATTTCCTTCAGTATGTTCCCAGTAGTGGCGACATCCTTAGAGTTTTCCATGTTAACAGGCCTAATTTCACATGAGGAATTTTATTGCTATACAGGTATACATTAAGGAATACAGATATCAGATCAGTAAACCAAATTTTACCTTAAAACACTAGAACAGCAAAGTAAATCTTAAGATGACCATTAGTGTGAACCAGGACACAGGACCTATGTTAACAAATCACAGCACGAGGCCACAGAGTTACTATGAAGTGTCCTTAGTGACACAGGACAAGTCCTTGTGGTGATGCACCCAATGAAGGTAAGCCCAAAGAAAAGGACCACCGGTTTTCACCAGCTACCCCTCTCTCATACCCCACGTCTCTAACTGCTAGAACCTAGGGTTCCAACCCCAGGAGGAACAAGGCTCTGGGGCAAACAGAGCAGGTTTTGAACTGGGGCTTTATTGTTCTTGATATATGGCCTAGTGCAGGTTCCCACCTCATACAGTTTCGTATTTAAAAGGGGATCAGCAGTGCCTTCCTCACAGAGCTTTGAAGAGGATTAGACAGTATGTGGTGTAATTAAATAAAACTCTTGCTTTCCCTCTTTGTGTTCTTATTTAGAAATGAGACATGGTACATTAAGAAGCCTGACTATTGAAAGGGCTAAAAGGAAACCTGTTGAAGTGAAACCGACACTATGAAAAACAATGACTTGATCAGCCCTTGCCTGACTTTCAAGGAACAACTTACTATTTCATTACTTTTAGTATTTTTTGTCCTACTTAATATCATTGGTTGAACTCTTTAATTAACACACAATTATTCTTAGGCATTTAAAATTAACTCAAAAGTGATCCCTGTTAAATATGAGAGTGGGAATAAGAGAAGGAGGAGATGTACAGTTCGGCACCTGCTCACTCAGACTTACCCCTAATGGTAGAGCTATAAACGTGCTGGGGGATTCCAATTCAATCCCATCAAGGTGTCATGAACCAATGCCATCTCACTAGTCAAAGTGATCAGTTTCAGTTCATAATTGATCATAATGATAGGATTAAATGTCAAAGGCATCACATAAACAAGACTAGTGTCTGCTAACAATAACTGATAGACTTAAAAAGGAGGAGAATGCTTCAACATGGGAAGCAGGATACACAGCAGACTCATAGAATGACAAATACCCTAAACAGCACTTTGGCCTCAGAATCAGTCCTTAAGGCATTCAGATCTGGCTAAAAAGCCCATGAGAATGATTTAGGCATGGAAAGCCAAGACATTCTAGAAAAAAAAGAGGAACTAAATAAAAGATCTCTGTGAAAGAGATCCCAGCAGAATGAACAGGCCATCAAAGAAGGATGTACCTTTCTCTGAAGGGAGGAGAGAACTTCCACTTTGACTATGGCCTTGTCTAAATAAGATTGGATCCGGTGAACTCAAGAGGCTTCCATAGCCTTGGCAGCTCAAGACAAGTGCCTCACGTGATTACTGACATTATAAATAAGAGTGCCAATTGTTAAATCAACAACGGGAGTTACTGTGCACCTACTCCCCATGTAGGATCTCTCTGTCCTTAATGTGTTGTACCATGTGAATTAACGGTAAAACTACTACTCAAACAATACTCTACACTTTGTGTGTCTGTGTGGGTGCAGTCTGTTGAAATCTTTACTTAGTATATACTGAGTTGATATTCTGTATATAAATATAATTGAAAATGAATCTTGATGAAGAATGGGATGGGAGAGGGATTGGGAGATGGGACGGTTGCGGGTGGGAGGGAGGTTACAGAGGGAAGAACTGCTATAATCCAAAAGTTGTACTTTGGAAATTTATTTATTTTTATAGACTTTATTTATTTACTTATTTGAGAGGTAGAGTTACAGACAGTGAGAGAGAGAAACAGAGAGAAAGGTCTTCCTTCCATTGGTTTGCCTCCCAGATGGCCACTACAGCTGGTGCACTGCACCAGTCTGAAGCCAGGTGCCAGGTGCTTCCTCCTGGTGTCCCACGCGGGTGCAGGCGCCCAAGCACCTGGGCCATCCTCCACTGCACTCCTGGGCCCAGCAGAGAGCCAGACTGGAAGAGGAGCAGCCAGGACTAGAACCCGGTGCCCATATGAGATGCTGGCGCCACAGGCGGAGGATTAGCCAAGTGAGCCACAGCACCAGCCCCCGAAAATTTATAATTATTAAATAAAAGTTGGAAAAAAAGAAAGGGTTTCATGAATGCCACTCTGTTACAATCTCCTTTCTTGTCCATCTTACCTTTGTTCTTGTGACCAGACCCTTCATTAACCATCACTTCCTGTCCCAAGGCCCACCAGTGAGTGTGTTGTTAGTTCTGCATATCTGAACACCAGCTGTGTACCAGGGACTACAGGAATGAAAGCAGAGAGACAAAGTCTTGTCCTGGACAAGCTCACAGTCTTATATGAGATATGGGTATTTAGCAAAAAAATGGTGATAAAATGGGTTAAGTACGTTATGTATATAGGTAGTGTGTTACAGAAGCTCTGGATACTTAGCTCTGCCTGGGGGAATGAGAGAAAAGTATCAAAGAGAAGGAAGACCCTTGAGTTGGATATCTTGAAACATGGCTAGGAGTTTCTCAAGCTGAAAACATTGAGGAACATCAAGTAGTGACTGCCTATATGCAGAACCATGACAAG